TATTTATTTTATATTTATTTAATTTTCATTTAAAATGTATTTAGTAAAATAAAAACAAATAATTCAATTAATTAATTAATTAATTAAACAAATATAATAATTTCTAGAATATTAAATAATTAAATAATTAAACTTTTTTTTTTAAATTTATATTAAATAGAAAAATACAACACTACATTTGACAGTTCGTTTCACTTTCAGAGCATTTCCTGCATCAATGTCACCCAACAAGCTATTATAATAGCGATTCATCGTGACAATGAGAATTTAATTGTTACAAATGACTTAATTTATGCTTTCTTTCTACCAGACAGTGGCTGAAGTCGGAGGACATTCAGAGGATATCTCTGTTCTTTCATAATAAGACACTCGAAAAAGAGGTACATTTCACCTTGAGATGTGTCATTGAATGGCAAATAATCTATGTGCTTCACTGTAAAGAGAAATCCGCATATGAACAAAAACGTATAGAAAACCTGTAAGAGCTGAAATATTTCTTTTTTTTTCTTCTAACAGTACAGAGCCACAACTCTGCCGGCCTTCAAGTACTACGTCACCTGTGCTTGTCTCATTTTCTTCTGCATCTTCATAGTGCAGGTCTTAGTCTTGCCGAAGTAAGTGCCATCTCCACCACATCTTCCAAGTATCTCATTGTCTTTTGCGATGCAATTACGCCGCTGTCTCCCACAGCACTTAGACCAAGTGACGCATAATAATATTACAACATTTCTTCACAATTGAGAGAAAATGAGTGCAACGATAAAGAACGGGATGATGGGAATGTCAATGCCTGCCTGAAAAAGACAGCCCTGAGGAGACAGTTATAGATTTTTTTTTTTTTAAATCAGAGGCCAATCTGGTTTGGAAATGATGTCTCCTTTTGTATGAAGTCAGACAGAAAAATCTATGCAAGACCTCATCCTAATTTACTGCTCATGTTGACCGAGAACACATTCACAAGAGTCGAGAGCACAGCGCTTTCTCTCAAGCTGAGTTCTGACCTCCTGACATTGATTTTATATCAGATTTATAGTGAGATATGGCACCACAAAGACTAGAACTAAACGCTTTTGTTTCTATATTCAAAAAGCCATTAAAATATGTAATGCTTGCTTGGGTTTATTTACATACTCTAAACTTTGCCAACCCCAAAGCCCTAAAGTTCAGCATCTAATTTGTCTCACACTATTTGTTCTATGTGAATGTTACATTGAATCTTGATTAAAATATATGTTTTGTTGTTATTCTAAGCAATCAGTATTGTTTTCTCCTACTGGACAATTAAACAGGTGAAAAATCCCAAAGATCTACACTGAAGAAGGCATCTGTTAACTAAAACTAAAACTATTGAAAATTGTTTTTCTAAAAAGTTGAAAGCTGAAATAAAATAAAAAATATTAGAAGATGTAATTTCATACCTGCTCACCAAACTTACGTGGGAAAGAAACAGAAGACATTTGCCTTATTAGAAGTCAATGTACCATCAGAATGCCTTAGCAACTAACTGAAATAAATAAAGAAGTTTAAGTTAAATTACAAAAACTACTTAAAGGTAAAATTACATTTAGATTACTAGATTAAATAGATTTCTTTGATTACAAATGATTAAAAAAATTAAACTGAAGTAATTTGGCTGCAGCTATTTGCAATAAGTGTAAATAGCGAGAGATGCTATTTACACCAAGTGCAAATAGCCATAGCTTCCATTTAAGTATTTTCTGCAATTTATACTACTTATTGCAAATAGTAGCAAATATCTGCACCTCAGTATTGTAATACATTATAAAACAGTATGCAATAATAATGTATTGAGTGTAAATTGTAAGTTTTATTAATATTATTAAATGGATGCTGACTTATTGGGACAAAGCCCTCCCTACACCTACTCTAACCCTACCCAATACTTCATCAACTTTTCGATTATTTTCCTTCATTTTTATTGAAAATAAATGCCTTTCCGATGTGATATGAGATGTGAAAAGGGACAAGAACGAATTCGGCAAAAGGCGGATTCGAACTCGGGTCAATCGCGTCAAAAAGTCTGCGCTACGTGTTTTACCACTGGAGCTGTTGTTTGACAGCCGTCTTTTGTAATGTTGACTAGCCCAACAACACGTTGAAAACAAGGCGGGCTATTTGCACGAAATAATTTTAGGCTGAATTACTAAAATTACAAACAAAAAAACTAAATCACTAAATATATTTTTTTATTATGTAAAGCCAAATTTTTAAAAACACACAAATTTACTAAAACTTACACTAATTATAGAGTGAAAACTGAAAATATAAAGATGAAAATATTAATAAATAATATAGTAGTTTATAAACGATACAAAAATAACACTGATGTGGAATGTATCTAAAGAGCAAAATGTCTTGATGCTGGATTTGAGGGCTATTTTGACCTGGAGCAAGTAGCAATCACCTTGCAATGACACAAAACACACTAACAATGGCATAGTAGTGCTATGCTGAGATTGGATGTTCATGTGAGACACAAACTATAGCAGGCATACACGGATGATGAATACATATGCTTTGGCGTATCTCTGATGATTTTGTCTCTCACAGAACCACCGTCCTTGGAGTTTCATTCGGAATGGCCTTCCTGCTGCTCGCCTTGATCCTCGCCATTTGTTTTGCTGGTCACATACTGGTAAGTGGTGCTCGCTCTTGTGGAAGTAAATATAAAGAAGCTTTCTTTGGGAGTGAATTGCCAGTGAATGAGGCAGGTTGGCTTGTCTGTTCAGTCTATTCAGATGTTGACATGTTACATATTTTTCCATTTTCCATGGAGGAAATAACTGTGTACTCAAATGTCATTTAATAAATCGAGGTTTCCGCACATTTGAGACCCTCATCTTGTTAGAGAAAATGCCATACCGGGAGGAAAAAACACCATATCAAAACAAGATTGAAATTTCCTTGTTTTAACCCGAGGAACAACACTCTTTCTCTGCTCTTAGAGAGCGGCGTCTATAATCAAATTACCAGCTACTTTGGACCTGTGGAACATAAATGGCTTAAGTAAATGTCAGCTGTATGCCTCCCTGTTTTCTTTCTCCTGCTCTTTCTTCCTTAATATATTATGAAAGCTTAGAGTGAAATGGCTTATTCAATATTCAAAGGCCTGTAGATTCACTCATGGTAAGAACATGTTCTGGTCATATTCCACCCTATTTTAAGGGAAATTAAGCCTGTTTTTATGACCGTTAAGGTTTAATATATTGTAACATTATTTTCTTAGCAAATATTATTTAAATTATATTTATACACTGCTGTTCACGAAGACTTTTTTGTTTAAAATATATATAATTTTACTTCATAATTCAAATAAATGCTATTCTTTTGAACTCTCAAAGAATCATAAAAAATGTACAGCTGTTTTAAACATTGCAAATAATAAAGAAATGCTTCTTAAGCGTCAAATCAGCATACTAGAAAGATTTCTGAAGGATCATGTGACACTGAAGACTGGAGTAATGATGCTGAAAATTAAACTTTGCGTCACAGGAGCAAATTACATTTTAAAATATATTAAAATAGAAAACAGTTATTTTAAATTGTAATAATATTTCACAATATTACAGTTTTTGTTATATTTTTAATCAAATAAATGCAGCCTTTTTGAGTATAAAAAGACCTCTTTCAAAAACATGTAAAAAATCTTAACATCCCCAGATTTTTTTGAACAGCAGTGTGCATCATGTTAGTATTTAGTACTTGATAGTACTTCATTTTTCTTTTAAATTACAAAATCTTTGTATTATAGTATTACTGTATTTCAGTACTGAGAATCTATCGAGTATGACCTTTGAGAAAAATTCTCATTAGAATTTCGGGTCATAATGTAAAAAGTCACAATGCTATAATTATTAGTTTTAAAAATAGGCTTAAATTTTTGGGGGGAGGGGGGTGACCTTGACAGATTGAGCCTCATACACTCTATGGAATTCCTACTATGATCAACGTAACCTGTTTTTCTGTATATTGAGGCATCAACTGTTATATTTTTAGAAGAAATGGCCTTCCAAAGAACTTGAAGGGTTTTTAAGCCGTTCACCCACCAGCTCGACTTGATTTGTCCATTAATTAACCAAACAGATTCAGTTGATGATTCAGAATTCATGATGATAAAAAAAAAATAGGCCACACTGAATGGTGACATTACGTTAGTCCAAAAACCTTTTTTTCTGTTTTTGTGTCAGAAGAAAAGCAGTTTGAGTGATGATACTTTTTACTGGACTGTTTGTTGTCTCTTTTTCATGCAGTAAACTCAAGTCCTCATGGGTTTGGGGATTGCGGGTGTGAGGGGCCATTTCAATAAAGCTCTGGCACTCACATTTTGAGTTTCTTTTATGGTAGGACTCTCTTTTGGTTTCACAGATAACTGTCAAAGTCATAAGTGCCTGGAGCTCTTCGGAATTTAGTAAGAGGCATTCTCAGTTTTGTTTCCCATTTATCTGATGTTAGAGTTCACAATCAGCCCACAGATTTACAAATATAAAAGAGGGGTTAAGGTTATCCGGTAGAAGTGCTGTGTTTAAATATTGAAAGCTATTTTTTGTATAGATGATGTAACTAACGTGTGATTGAGTGGTGAGAGGGTTTTTTTGTTTAGCTCCTCTACCTCTTTTACTTTACTTACTTCTACTTTAGATTTAAGTCCAAAGCATTCTTGAACAGGGTCTAGGTTAAGTGTTTTGTAAAGTGCTGTTCCACTGCAGCTCCGTTAATACTCATCCTGACAATGTAGCATAAACTCAATTAAGGTTACACGGCCTCTACAAACATTACATTAGTACTGCAATCAGTACAAGGTGAGTTTTACAAACAGATCTCAGTTTCTTCAAGGCCACGAAGTCTCATTTCAGATAAAAAACAAAAAAAAGTTGAAACTCAGGCAGGGGTTTGATCTTTTTTCATTCAATTTAAATTTTGCTTGAATTGATAGTTTATTCAAAAATGAAAATTCTGTCACTATTTACTCACCCTCATGTCATTCCAAAACCTCCTGTTTTCTCTGTGCAAAACAGCCACGTTGGTCCCTTTTGGCTTTCACTTCTCTTTCAAAAGCCTCGAAAATGGGTTGCCGGTAAATAGTGGTATGCTAAGCTACTATGCTAAAACTAAAAATGTATAAATTTTTATAAAAAATAAAAAACTAATTGAAAACAAACAATGGGAAAAGTTGTTTCAGCAATTGAAATCGCTTTTGGGGTCCAAGGAGGGTCAGACTCTACAGGGGAGGAAAACTGTACCAGCTATGTTTCAGAAGGAAAGAAGTCCTTAATTTAGTCAATCGCATTTTTATGGCAATTCTGGAAGTAAAATGGATTGTGAATGACGTTTTATGTTGACTTCCTCTTTCAAGTTGATATAGATGGCTTTTTTTGTTATATGTTCACTCACTGTGAAGTTATGTTTATTAATGTGTCTCTGACTTGTGGGGCACAATCATAACCTTGAGCATTTGGAATAGAAGCAGATATGCTAATGACGTTGGTGGGAGTTAAGCTTGTTTTAGTTTTTTTTACTTTTCTCTTGTTGCTGTAGCAATGGGGCAGAGCAGCCTCCTGCACAATGCCCTGGCTCCCCAGCTCCTCTAAAGTCATCACCAACAAGCCCTGGATACGACTTGCGCTCACCATGGCAACCACTGCACTTATCCTAGTCATGGCCGTGTTCAACATGGTGAGCATTACTACTACTTAATACCTGGTCTATCAGCTAGATTGGACTGCTTTTAAAATGACTGACATTTATTAGATTCAAATATAATTTGTTATTATTGAGCATGTTCAATAAGACAAATATTCCGTGCTTGCTTTGTTTATGGTTATGCCAATATCGTGAACAGCCCGCTGGCTTTATGGTTCAGTAATTCAGGTAACTCTTTAGAAATAAGGGTAATATCACTACACTATTAAAGCTCTGTTCTTGTCAGTGAACTACGGCTCTGTGTAGTAAATGCTGCTCCATCTGAAAGCACGTGATGATGATTTACTGCTGATTACAGAACCGGCATTACTATCAAAATGCGCATGACAATCGCATTCGATTAATCGTGCAGCCCTAGTTAGAAGTCCCAGTTTTGTGTATATAGAAAATAGGAGGGGACCAAGTACCAAACCCTGAGGAACCTCGCAGGTAGTTAATGTGAGATATAGGCACTGTTTAACTTCAAAATAATGTGAAGAAAATACATGTGTGGTGGTACAGTTCAGCTCTTATCATGCCAAGCTTTGAGAGCTTAGATCAGGTGATAAACTTGGTCAAAGACTGCAATAAAGACAGGTGATATAAAGGCCAGCTAACTTCTTTTTTAAATGGTGCACAATTTTCATTCCTAGCATACATAAACCTATCAGTATTTACAAAATATATTACATGACACATTCATTTAGACAGTTGGCTGATAAATCAGTCACCAGTTTTTGGCCCAGTTGGAGGGCTTTAGCTGTGGAATCTGTGGTGGTTCACAGTAAAGGGCAGAGTAGAATTAGTGTCAGCTGTCTGGTTGGATTCATCATTGCGGTTAGCGCTCTGGTCCAGTATGGATCTAATGATGTTATCCCTGAGCTCAAGTGATTGGTTGTCCCAGTGGGAGAGAAACACAAGAGGAATGTGACTGAATACTTGGGTTTTTGGTTTCACACATATAAGATCAAATGTTACACTGTTCAGCTGGGCTTGTTAGAAATTTGATATTTTGTTCTCTTGCAGTGACAGTCATGCATTTGTAATTGTGGCTTAAGTGTCAAAAAAAATTTTGTCCACTGTGTTTCTATAATAAACTAATGTAAGCAGTCACAAACACCACAGATCAACATGCTTCAAACATCTCAGCCTCTTTTCAATTAAATCCTGCACCAACTGGATAAAAACTGTATCCACAGAAACTTCTATTCTGCCAAAGTTGGCAATTGGTCATCTCTGCTTTTCCCATCTGCTTGCAGCTTATTGATTTTTGTTGAATTTTGCACTTGTGTAAAAAAAGTGTTATGAACTACTATGAAACATATTTGTTACAAAAATGCAACAGATGTGTTTAGCTAAGAATGATGGTGTCTTTCTGCTGTAATGCTCTAAATTTTGTTTTCTCCATTTGTTGGGTTTTAAGTTCTTCTTAGGCCAAGAAAAGATGGTAGCATCACCTCCACTCAACATTTCCAACAACAGTATGGATGGTTCAAATGCTCAAACCACAGACTCCTCAAACAACAAGTTCTACTTGCCAGTAAGTTGCAACAAATATTATCTCATGCCTTTTGCCCACAAATCTTGGTAATTTGCTTCTCAGAAAAGAGTGAACCGAATAACCTTTTATTTACAGACCCACATGAAAACATATTGTAAATCCTCTGTTGAGATGTTGGTTTCAAAAAAATTCTTTGTATCTGTCTTTGACAGAACAGACTTGAAATGAATTATGAGTGTCATGAGATAAACCAATTTGTCTCATGCTTGCATCAGTATATAATAAGTCATTTTATACTGTGCGTGATTATGTATGGCGACTCTGTACTGACATTTCACAGCTGAAACATATACTGGAAAATATAGTTATGCACTGAGAGCTATATATGACTGTATATCTGTAGATCTCTACAGATATCAAGATGGTGGACAAAAGAATCCTCAAGCGTTTTCCTAGAATGATAGTACATTGGTTAGGAAGAAAAGACTCTTGGTGTACATGACTTTTTCATTTCTTAGTAACATCTATTTTGTAATATTTCAGGCTTCTGTTATTAAATACTTAGCATTTAAATCCAAGCTTCATAGTTCTCTTTTCACTGATACTGATTGGCCCTGATGAATGTACAGATGTGAATCTGACTCACTGTCTCTGCCCCGGCAGTATTTCATCTACAGCTGCATTCTGGGATTGATCTCATGCTCCGTGTTCCTGAGGATAAACTATGAGCTGAAGATGATAATTATGCTTGCTGCTGTAGTGGGTTATAATATCATCATTCTTCAGACCCACGCCTCTGTACTGGATGATTACAGCATGGCCCTCTACAAGACCAAGCAACCAGACCGGTACTGGACTCCCATATGCTCCCACATATAGTGGCCCCAAAAAGTTGTCACAAAAAATCTGTAGTTTTATTTATTTGTAGGTGACGCTTCTGTAATATTTCCATTGCACACACACAGTGAGTAAAAGAAGGAAGAATTGCGCCACATAGATACAACTGGTAACTGTGTGGAGGCAATTTTTTCCAGTAGGTCTCTCAGTATCTCCAGGGATTATGAGTGACAGGCGCTGCTGCTGAGATGGCAGGCTTCGTTTGGATTAGTCTTTTCGGAGGACTTGACAGTGTAGGGTGAAAAACATTTTTAAACAACAGCCTATTGCATTTCTCTCTTAATTATTTTTTCCCATGTGGTATTATTCTTTGTTTCTTTAATTTTTTTCCCGTTCCTTGCCTTCATTAAGTTTTTCTGAATGGATTAAGATTAAGGAATGGGTCAAATTGGCCACTGCAACTGCCTATGCAACATTATGACAGTTTATGCCTATACACCATGCCTATGACATAATGAATCTGAATATGGTTAGACGAACACAATGTTGCTGAGAAGTTCGTATATAGCCCATATCCTACTCTAGACCCTACAATACTTTTGTCGTTTTTGTGTCCTCTTGACTTTTAAAGTTTATGTTTCTGTTTGTTCCCCCTCAGGCCAGGTGTTCTTAAAGATTTGAAAACCATGGGCTCCGTGTCATTGTTCATTTTCTTCGTCACTTTGCTTGTGCTTGCCAGACAGGTGAGTCTCTCTCGGTCTGAAATCCTCAGCTTTAACACTGCTATCATACTTGCTCTTTGTTATTGTGGGGTTCATCTAAAGAGTTGTGCTGAATTATTTGTAATGAGATCCACTGATCCACATGTGACAATTCAGAGGAATAGTGCACCCCAAAATGAAAATTTAGCATTACATCAATAGTTCACCAATGGTTCCTCTGCAGTGAATGGGTGCCATCAGAATGAGCGTCCAAACAGCCGATAAAAACATCACAATAATCTACAAGTAATCCACACCACTCTAGTCCATCAATTAACATCTTTTGAAGTGAAAAGCTCCATGTTTGTAAGAAACAAATCCATCTTTAAGATGTTTTTAACAGTCCTCTGTCCATAATATTGTTTTCTCCATTGAAAAAGTCATCTTGTCTGAATCAGGAGAGAAATATGCACAGATCAAGCACTTTTTTCACTGGAGGAAGCAGTATTATGGATTATGGACTGGTATTTTGTCCAGAAGTGATAATGCCTTAATGATGGATTTGTTTATTATAACTATGCAGCTTTTCATTTCAAAAGAGTTAAATTATGGACTGGAGTTTGGATTACTTGTGGATTATTGTGATGTTTTTATCAGCTGTTTGGACTTTCATTCTGATGGCACCCATTCACTGCAGAGGATTCATTGGTGAGCAAGTAATGTAATGCTAAATTTCTATAAATGTGTTCCCATGAAGAAGCAAACTCATCTGCATCTTGGATGACTTGAGGGTGAGTCCATTTTCATTTTTGGGTGAACTATTCCTTTAAGAATCACTTTAATTTGGAGATCTTGGAGGTACTTGGAGAGAAAAATCCACCCACAGGAATTACAGCAGTGTGCATGTTCTGAAATGACAATTTAAACTTATATACGCAGCATACATAACACATTTTTATGGAAGAGTTGATAAAAGCCTTTGAACAAAAATAAAAGCATCACATTTCTACTTTTTCATCTCCAGAATGCACTATCGTTGTAAGTGCATCATTATTGTGTGGTATTTGGCAGAATGAGCTTAACTTAAGTAGTACTTTCCTTTAATTAAAGTTATTCAGTTGATTCAATTGTAAAAGATCTCTGAATGTTAATGCAATGACATTTTAATAATAGATGTTAGCCTAATCTAGAAATAGTCACGTCTCACCTTGAAATGTGAATTTTTCAGAAGTCATTTTACAATTAAGCTTAAAGTTTTGTGGCAGCACAAATATGTTCCCAATTTCTATGGCTTCAGTTATTATCAGCACTCATCAGCCTCTGGCTGCACAATACCATAAAGCTTTCCTGCGAAAAAGCATTTAATAAATACCACTATAAGAAATTGTTTTTTTCACAGTACAATATGGAGAGAATTATATGTTTTTCAGTCTGTATTGAAACCTTTCAGTATCTCTACAGGTCGGCCGTGGGTCAGACTTGATTTTTTCACTGTGTGCTTTTAATTCTGTTGCGAGAGGCTATTTGTCCCTAGATAATAGGCCTGTCTGATGAACTCTGTATTTGAAATGTGCAGTTAGGTGAATTCATTTATAAGTAATGCAGTGTTCAGGTTGATCAGGTGATAGCTAAGCCGAGGACTGATTTTTCTCCAAAGCAATGAACCAGACAAAAATAAGCAAAAACAAATATAGACTGAGTGAGAAAGACTATCAGTGCATACTTAATGCCTTTCAAGGTGCCATTTCCACTGATTCAAGAAATATTTTTCATGATGAATGTCTGCTGGAACACAAAGCTACAACTAAGAGAAAATTGAAGCAATTTTTCATGATAGCAGCCATTTATGCAAGAAAAATCCATAAAAATATACCGTAAGATGAACTGTCCTTCTGTGCTTTTGATTCTGCTTTCTTTGTCATCTTGAAAGCCACTTACGGTGGTCAGATGTGTACCATCTCTTTACCTCTGTGTCCTCTTGTAACAGAATGAATATTACTGTAGGTTAGACTTCCTGTGGAGGAACAAGTTTAAGAAGGAGTGTGAGGAGATTGAGACCATGGAGAACCTGAACCGGGTGCTTTTGGAGAACGTACTTCCTGCCCATGTGGCAGAACATTTCCTGGGGCGAAACTGGAAAAATGAGGTGAGTAGCATCCAAATGTCTGAAAACACCAGTCAAAATGCGTCTATTGTGTCTTTATAACCAGATGTATTTTGTATGCTGTATTTTTGACAGGATCTTTACCATCAGTCGTATGATCTTGTGTGTGTGATGTTCGCCTCCATCCCAGACTTCAAGGAATTTTACACAGAATCTGACGTTAATAAGGAGGGATTGGAGTGTCTCAGGCTCCTTAATGAGATTATAGCAGATTTTGATGAGGTAAACTCACTGACACAACCCTATTTTGATTTCAGATGCTGTGGAAAGCTACACTGAAGGCCCCAATATATTGCATCGACGTCATTGCATCGTTGTTGTGTTTAGGGCAGGGGTGCCCAAACTCGGTCCTGGAGGGCCGGTGTCCTGCAGAGTTTAGCTCCAACTTGCCTCAACACACCTGCCTTTAAGTTTCTAGTATGCCTAGTAAGAGCTTGATTAGCTGGTTCAGGTGTGTTTAATTGGGGTTGGAGCTAAACTCTTCAGGACACCGGCCCTCCAGGACTGAGTTTGGACACCCCTGGTTTAGGGCATACGTGCGAGTGGCGCAACACATAATAATCTACACCCCGCCTCCAGCAGCGCGAGGGTGTCGGAATGTTCGAATACAGTATACCGTCTCTCAGCCTTTTCGAACTTCTTTTTGCTCCCAAACGAAGAACGAAAACGAACATCGTTTCAAGTATATCAGGGCCTTAAAGTACTTGTGAAGATATAAATGCCACCAGCGATAACTTGATCCTTCCCCTAAGCCCTGCCTTAAAAATGTTACTGACATCCAGCCAGATAAGCAACTGATATTATGCAATGTATGCCTGCTTAGGTCCTTTGGATAGTTTTAAACAGAATATTTCATAAATGATCTAAAAATAGCACTTTATGTTAAAAGTTGCATAGAGAAAACTTATGCCTTTGAAAAAATTATTCTTTGTGGTATCAGCAGTTTCAGATAAATCCACACATAAATGGCACATAAAAATAAAATTAACTCTGGCTGCTTTATGTGACGATTAGACGGTCTCTTCCAGTTTAGATGGGCGGTTCTTGGCTAGAATAAGCAGAAAAGTGGATCAGACTAGTCAAAAGTCTGGCTTTTGAGATAAGAGCAATTATGTAATACTTACTTTAATTTCAGAATTAAGTTCTAGTTTAAAAGCTTGACATAGTAACAGTAAAAAGGGGGGCAGGTCCTAACAAAGGATAAAACAACGGCCACAGAGCTTTACTTATAAAAATGAAATCATACTAGTTTTCATGTTCTTTTGATTCTTTTTAAAGGCTGCAGAAACAAATCTAGACAGAGCAAGCTGATCAAGCAAGTCCTAACAATCACAGCATTTGGTACATGGCACAAGCTGATTGGCCTCTGCTGATTCTGCTTGCTCAAAATAAATAAATTAAATAGTCTGGTTCAATGTTCGCTGTAGGATGGTCTTTCAGCACTATCAGAGTTCCTCTGAAACCCTCCATCTCCCCTAGCACCACCTGTCTATTTCTTGTACGGGACAGTGTGTCTGTTTGCCTACACTCTTAAAAATAAAGGTTATAAAGGGGCGTTTTCCCAGCAGTGTCATAGAGGAACCATTTTGGGTTCCCCAAAGAACCTTTCACAGTGAGCAGTTCTTAAAGGGGACAGCGGATTCCCATTTTCCACAAGTTGGTATGATTGTTTAGGGTCTTCATGAAATGTCTGCAATATACTTTGGTTAAAATTCCTTAATGTTCATGTAAATCAACACCCTTTTTACCTTGTCAAAAACAGCTCTGTTCACAGTGACCCGTTTCGGTGCATGGCTCTTTAAATGATAATGAGCTACTGCTCACCCCGCCCCTCTCTTCTGTTTTTTTGTGTATTCGGTGGTGCGTTACCATCAAAAACAAAACTAATCCACTGCGTCCTCAGTGCCTCTGTTGTCGGAAGAAAATGAAGACCGTTTTGTTCACTTTTACATCCAACTACAAAATTGTTTTGCTTACGAAACACTGTCGTCGCTACAGCTGCTCGAGCACAGAGAAAATGGCGGACAGCGTACAACTGGCTGAGGGAGGAGATATACTAATACGGGACAGTCCATCAGCTTGATACTCTGAAGAACATTGTAATGATCTGAAGAACTTTTTTTCCACTATAAAGAACCTTCTGCATAGTTGAAAGGTTCCATGGATGTTAAAGGGAAAGTTCACCCAAAATTAAAAATTCTGTCATTAATTACTCACCCTCATGTCGTTCCAAACCTGTAAGACCTTCATTCATCTTCAGAACACAAATTAAGATATTTTTGATGAAATTCGAGAGCTTTCTGACCCTCCATAGACAGCAAGGGTCCTACCATGTTCAAGACCCAGAAAGGTACCAAGAACATCTAAAATGGTCCATATGACATCGGTGGTTCAACTGTAATTTTATGAAGCTACGAGAATAATTTTTGTGCACAAAAAAACTAAAATAACAACTTTAACAATTCTTCTCCTCCACGTCACCCTAGCGCCATTTTGGAGAGTACCACGAAGCATGCGCGTGCTTTGAGCTGCAAGTAAACAACGTATGCGCATCGAGAGGAAAGCACGTGCATGCATCGTGATACTCTCCATAATAAAGGCAGAGGGTGACTCGGGGTAAAATTTTCGATAAATTCGTTATTTTTGTTTTTTTTGCACACAAAAAGTATTCTCGTAGCTTCATAAAATTACGGTTGAAACACTGATGTCAAATGGACTATTTTGTCGATATTCTTGGTACCTTTCTGGACGTTGAACGTGGTAGTTCCCTTGCTGTCTATGGAGGGTCAGAAAGCTCTCGAATTTCATCAAAAATATCTTCATTTGTGTTCTGAAGATGAATGAAGGTCCTACGAGTTTGAAACGACATGTCGGTGAGTAATCAATGACAGAATTTTTGGGTGAACTAACCCTGTAAAGGTTCTTCAGAAAACTACTGATGCCAATAAAGAGTGTAGTATGGGCAGTATGAAGTCTATACTTGCTATGCAGCAGAAGCAACATCAGACCTTGTCTGCCAAGATCAAATACATTAACATCTCTTCTTAATGCTTTTGTTCTCAACAGTTGCTGTCAAAACCTAAATTCAGTGGTGTGGAGAAGATCAAAACGATTGGCAGCACATACATGGCTGCAACGGGGCTGAATGTGACCCCTGGACCAGAGTACGCGCAGGTAAAAATTTGAGCTCTTGTGTTCAGTCTTAAATTATAATTCTTGTAAAGTTTACACTGGATTGATTGCAGAGTCTCATTAGACCTATTGTAGGACCTGCCTGTGGTGCTGAGAGCTTGATTTGTGCTTCTTGCTTGAGAGTCTCAGGGTGTAGTCAATACTGAAATGTGTGCATTGATAGTGCCCTGTTCATATTCTGAAGGACCACGACCGGCAGTACATGCACATTGGAACAATGGTGGAGTTTGCATTTGCTTTGGTGGGGAAGCTTGACGTCATCAACAAACATTCCTTTAATGACTTCAAGCTGCGAGTGGGTAAGCAGGGCCCGTCAGCACTTTTACGCCCGGCAACATTTTGTTTGCCTCATGCAGAGAGTCTCATAATAGCCTTGTGGTACAGACTTTATCAGCATTCAGGATGTGTCAAATGTTTCCGGCTTTTCTCTGACCAGGAATAAACCACGGCCCAGTAATTGCAGGAGTAATCGGAGCACAGAAACCACAGTATGATATCTGGGGGAACACGGTGAATGTAGCCAGTAGGATGGAAAGCACAGGGGTGCTTGGGAAAATACAGGTCGATCCTTGTTCTGACCTACTTACTTTGCATGCCTGCTGAATTATTTATGGGTTTTTCAGTGGATCACATCTAGTGTGCTTCCTTCCACAGGTCACTGAGGAGACGAGTCGGATCTTGCAGACGTTGGGCTACATGTGTTCCTGTCGAGGGATTATCAATGTGAAGGGCAAAGGGGATCTCAAAACCTTCTTCGTTCACACTGAGATGACACGATCCTTATCACAAGGGAATGTAATGCCTTGAACCTCAGTCACACACCAGTCAGTCATTGACCTGATTAAAACATGTACAGTTCAATATAGCGTTGGCCTACTGTAGTGGAGCTCTACAGCGTTCTGTTTGCACCACATACACTAGATTATTTGCATTGCTTTATAAGTAATGGATGGCTCGGCGGCTCTGTGTAACCCAGACTTGTAATTGTGTGTTGCTCAATCCATAATTTAAAGCAGCAGAGATTTTGTAAAATAAAGACAATTAACAAAGGTGGCCATGTTTTGATGCTATCATTTTGTTATTCATTAAAATTTATATATAAATGTCAAAGTCTCGGTCTATGAATTTTAAATAGGCTTCATATGAAAAGTCTTAAAACCACATAAAAAAATTTTAAAAAAATTAAACAAGTCATAGGAAAAATGTACTTCATTGATAATGCTTTAATTATATATATACAGTATATATATATATATATATATATACTTTCTTGTTTATACATGTTTTCTTGTATATAATTATAGTACTATTAATAATATACTTTTATAATAATGAGAATTTGGGCTGTTTGGAGTTTAAAAAACGTAATGTATTAATATTCATTCATATTAACGCTGTCGAACGATTAATCATGATTAATCGCAAACAAAATAAAAGTTTTTGTTTACATAATATACGTGTGTATACTGTGTATATTTATTATGTGCATATATACACCCAAACATGTATATATTTTAATATATAAATATTAATATTTTTTTCTTAAATATATACATGCACATAATAAATATACACAGTATACACACATGTATTAAGTAAACAAAAACTTATTTTGGGTGTTACTAATCACAATTAATCGTTTTACAGGACTAATTAATATCAATTATTTTATAATATTAATAAATTAATATTTCAGCACATAATTTCTTATTTTAGTCTCTTTTTTTAGGCATGAATTAAGACATGAGCGTGTTGACAGATTTTTTTTATTCACCCTGTAACATAAAAACATTCATGTGATTAATTCATATTATATTGTGTAGATGTTAGTAATCTGCTCTGCTTGTAGCATCAGACATTTGTTTTGACATTGACTGTAATGTTCAGTGACAGATGTGACCAGATGTAAGAGACACATTTAGATGGGTGTCACAGATCCATAGCCTTCCTCCACGGTCCAGGTGATCCCATTCTTACTGTAGAAATCAGAACGAACGTGAGCAACATGAGCAAAGCTCCTCCCTGAGTCGTGCTGCAGCGGTGAAAATCAGCCATACACAGAAGAGGACAGAACAGGTGCTGGTCTAGATGATTCCTAAGATGGGAATTTGAGATGAAATGTATTGGGATCTAGTTCCTCTAGAAAGCATTGTTAAAAAAAAAGAACAACACACGATGCATGGACTGCCGAGCTGGCATGGATGGATCTCTGTGGAGTTTTGGGGAAAAGCGCACCTCACTGAAAATGTCCAGGCCCCGGGATTTGGCGTGTTTTCTGTCATCACGGTGGAGTTTGTTATCATAGTCCTCAGTGCTCTGATGTAAGCAGTCATACAGAGACCTCTCTGGAGCCTATAGTATGAGACAAATGGATAAATTTGAATTTAGAAAATGTTATTTTGAAAATGTGTACCAAAGCGTACTTGGTCTAATGATATCAGAAAGTATTTTGATCTACAGTGTACCTAAGGGAAGTTTAGACATTAAAATATATATGAATGTAGCATTTATAAAAGAAAAATACAACTAAATAAAAAATCTTAAATTGTAAAACTGTATTTTAAATAAATATACAAATAGGCCTACAATGTATTTATTGTGCATACATAGCCTAGTGAACATTTGTTTGCAAATGCCACAAGGATTGCTATTTTATGTCAAGACATCCATTTCATGTTGCTGCTTTTTTTTAAAGACCCCCTGTTGTTAAAATCAAGTTTTTAACATTGTTTATGTCTCTCTGGTGTTTTTAATATGCTTAAAGACAAACCATGTCAGTAAAACGGTCTTAGAAATGTGGTTTGAAACATTTTACCATTACAAACCCCATTTTTACCATTACAAACATGTGACCAATCCTGTCAAGTTGTGGGCGGGGCTTTTAATATCATTAGCATATTATTGGAACACGTTGCCAAGTCTGCGGTTTTCGGACCCCCACCGAAGATCGATTGGGCTAGTTTTGAGTAGCAATTGGGAGTTTTTTTATTTTTTTGTGAAAACCTGGCAACCCTGTTTGTGTAACATAAGCAACACATGATTAGTTGTTTAATAACGTATTAAAGTCAAATTATATCAATTACGTTACGTGTCGGTTGTAGACAGCCATACACAAAATACATTACTACTCTTTTAATGTGACTTGTGGCAACCATGTGTAATTCACTCTTTCTCTACTTACTAGAAATCTGGTTCAAACATATATGGCTGAATTCATCTTAAACGGATACTTGTCTTTGTGAAGTGTTTATTAATCGAGTGAGTAGGTCCACTGAGGTGATTGAATGGAGGCGGGGACTAATTTGCATATTCATAGTCATCCGCGTATGGTAAATGAGGTACGCGTGTATGGTTACATTCAAGCCATTTTAAGGCGTGAAGAAGTTATTTCCGCTATAAATGACGTTTAAATATGGCATTTTGATTAACAAACATGAGTTTTAAGTGATAAACGTAGTGACTGCAGGAGGATTTGAAAGAGCAATGCCTCTTACCTTGGGGCTGCAGTTGAAATATCGCATTTCTTTGGGCTCCGTCCTTCTGGGCGGTATAAAGCTGAATACTGACAGCGTGGAAAGCGGGTTAGACTTCGCTTCAGATAATACGTCCATTACAACAGTTGCACTTTTATCTCTGGATAGCTGGAGTAAAATGTCCGCAGACAGTGACACCTCGCGTCTGCGGTTGCTAGGAAACTTCTGGAAAACTCACGTCCAGTTGTTTATACCATTGGAAGCGAGAAATAAAAGGTGTTTTCAATAGCCCGACAAAACGACAAAGAAAAGCAATTAGTACATGGACAAAAAAAAAAACATTTTACAGCTAAATTTTTCTGCTAAATTATTTATTAATTTACTGTTTCGTTGTTTTATTTAGCTACATTTTAAAATATTATTAAAACAAACAGCTTTAAATGTCTATTGCAGATTTTTACAATCACTTAGGACACATTTCTCAATAGTCAGATTTCAAAACTCAACCGATTTCCATCTTGGCACAGCAGTTAATTGCGCATTCAAAATGTAGGCTACTAGGCCTAAAACTAACAAAACACTTCATGCAGGTCTCAAATCAACTCATTCTTCCATAACACTAGCAAAGCTAGTCACCCAACAACTCTGTCACTTATAAAACAATGAATGACCTAAAAAAAAAACACTAATAAGAGGTGGCATTATACAATGCTTTCTTTTGTTAAATTTCCTTACAGATCACAAATGACACTCTCTACAGTTAGAATTCACTGCAGTGTATGTTGCATGGTCATGTTTACATTACAAAATTATTACTAAGGTGTCCCTTTCTGTACAGATGGTAATAAAACTCAAATACTACATCAACTACATCGAATAGTTTTGCTAGTATTTCATTTTTAAATTTAGAATATATTTCAGTTTGGTATTAGGCTACTGTCTGCACATTTAGCAAACTGCTGTCTTTATTCAGGTTTGTACAATGCTAGGTTTTGAATCGAGTTTAACAGTTTTGAAAATATTATAAATGTGCAAATTGCCTGGATTCATGTAATTTGAAAGATGCAGTCATTGAATACATTTTGCGTCAAAGCAGTGATAAATGATCCGCAGTTTAACCCACATAGACTGCTGTTCTGTGAACAGTTTTGAGAAAGTGACCTAAGCATCAATACATGGAACTTTGTGATTGTAATAAATAAATGTAAAAATGTAATTTCTACATTTAAAAGTGATTTATTTGTATTTTTATGTTCTAAATCGTACACTGATACTTTTTCCTTCTTTTATGTCCTACATAAACACCTCCAACTTCACAACCAAACTCCAAGTTTCCTTCTGTAAATATGACTTTGCTTACTTATTATATTGTTGTTCTAATAAGGATGTCATCCAGTTATATTTATTTGTGCGTTTGCAGGCAAAAGTGTATGGCATGTGCAAATGTGTGTGTGTTTGTGTGTGTGTGTGTGTGTGTTTGTGTTCTCTTATTGGTCCCTCTCTTCCCTGAATGGAGCACATCTTCCAGGAGGAGGCAGTGGAGGAACATCTCTTGCTAAAACTAGAGAAAGACAGAGAGAAAATGAGTAAATTGGTAGAACCAAATCAGCAGACGTCATTTTTCAGACATCTATCTATCTTTATTGGAAGAAATGGCATATTAATAATTAATCGCAAGCTACAATTGGCTTTGAGAATACCCACAAATTATTATTTAAAGCTAATGTTGTGTTAAATGAGAAAGTATTAAGTAGACATTACAAATGTGTGTGTGTGTGTGTGTTTGTGTTCTCTTATTGGTCCCTCTCTTCCCTGAATGGAGCACATCTTCCAGGAGGAGGCAGTGGAGGAACATCTCTTGCTAAAACTAGAGAAAGACAGAGAGAAAATGAGTAAATTGGTAGAACCAAATCAGCAGACATCATTTTTCAGACATCTATCTATCTTTATTGGAAGAAATGGCATATTAATAATTAATCGCAAGCTACAATTGGCTTTGAAAATACCCACAAATTATTATTTAAAGCTAATGTTGTGTTAAATGAGAAAGTATTAAGTAGACATTACAAACTGTAGCTTTAGAAATAAATATTTTATTTTATTTAACATAAAATTTATTACACATAAACGTTTAGGCTACAATGGCCTAACATAAATGGAACATAGAAGAAGATAATTTGAGATTTTTTTTTTTTTCAATGAAAGTCACTGGTAACCAAAACAGCTTTGTTACCAACAGTCTTGAAAATACCTTCTTTTATGTTCCACAAAAGAAAGCAAGTCGTTCAGGTTTGAGTAAAGGATGACAATTTAAATTGTTTGGGTGAACTATCCCTGTGTGGAGCACTGGCTGTTTGTCAGACTCCTTGTGCAAACAAAAATCCCACTGGATAATTACAATTAATGGCAAAATGAATGTTTAATTGTAAACTGATATTTCCTACTGAAACACTACAGCAAAAGATAGAAATAACTGACTTAAAACCATTTTTAGCTGGTGAAGATAGTGTTCTAATAACTTTGGCCACCACTGTGTGTGTGTGTGTGCGTGCGTGCGTGCGTGTGTGTAAAATACCACCATACGGTCTTGAACTTGACCACTTGTCTACTTTGGCTACATGATATACTGTATGTCCTGTATTTGGCCCCAAGGTGTTCAAATGGCTGTGTAGAACTTCTGATTATCCAACAGGACACACTTAGCCTACAACATAGTGTTGTAAAAATAAAAGTAAAGTTTTGTTACAGAGCTGTATTTACACATTTTGTACATTAATACTTGGCAATATATGACCATTTAATTGTGGTGCTCTAATTAAGTGATAAAAAGCAGTTGCAAACGTTTTACAAAATACACATAGGCCTACTCATCTCTGCACCAATAAAACGTGAAACACTTTACACTTTTGACCTGAGACAGTTTCACGCACTTATCTCCTGTCGCGTGCAGGCGCTCTCGAATGCCCAAGGGACATGCCCAGAGTTCGGTGTCACGCGCATTCCAAAGCGTCGCTCAGTCCATTGATGACGTAACAAAAGATGGAACGTTCGTGTGCGCTGCTTTAATTACGTCATACGTGTCAGAATGCACTGAGGTGTGAGTTTTCGCAGTTTTGTCATTCGCAGTTCCTGATACAGAGTTACTTGTCCACGTGAAAAACTGTTATCATGGCACTGAAAAGAAAACAGAGTTCTAGCGCTCAGGTGTACGATTTCCATCAGAGTACATCCCCAACATCCAGCAGCACTGCGACTGAGAAACATCTGTCCGTTAGTGCTGCTGAGGATACTGAGATGCCAGTGAGAAAGAGGAGGAGGACGGAGAGTTTTCAGAAGCTGCTCTCTCTCAAATCCATTAAGTGGAGCAGCAGCAGCTCAGACCAGGCATCAATAAATGAGAGACATGCTGAGGGTAAAAAAAAAAAGACCATTTGAGAATGTATATTATAAAGTCTGAAAATTTTCATCCATTTCTATGAGTAGCTATTAATGCAATAAACTGATTAGAGAAATTGTTCTGTTCCATAGGATAAAGTGTCATATGTTACATACAAATCCACTCCATCACACATTACATCAAAATACAAAAGTCTGATCAAGGCCGTAATCATATTTTTATTTCATGACATGTCATACATCTTTAAACACAGATGAAAACAAAAGAACCTCTTTTACAACTGGCCAAAAGAGAAAGCGAAGTTCATCTCCAACATCCAGCACCGATGCGGCTGAGCAACATCTGCCCATTAGTGCTGCTGAGGAATATGAGATGCCTGTGAGAAAGACGAGGAGGACTGATAGTTTTGAGAAGCTGCTCTCTCTTAAATCCATTAAATGGAGCAACAGCAGCTCAGACCAGGCATCGACACATGAGAGACACGCTGAAGGTAATATTACCAAATGACCATGTGTAGGCTAACTGTGTTCTGTTTACTAGAACTCTGTACATCAAACAGTCAATATAATTGTCAGCAAGACATGAGTATCCAGAATTTAATTAATTTGGGGAAATTTTCTGTTCCCTAGGTTGAAATGTCATTACAATATGTTGCAAATCTTCATCATCATGCATTATATGAAAATCCAAAAATTGACATACATTTTTAAGATGAAACATGGTTTGAAGAAGTTCCAATTTTAGATATCTAAAATATATTTAAGAATCTTCATAATATAAGAATGCTATATTTCCTTATTATTTGTTTAAAACACGCTTTTGTTTGATATTGCCCTCTTTAGATCATTCTCTACAGTCTATTGCCTGGTCTCAAGAGGATCATAGTCTTCAGGAACCTCTTTCCAGTGGTCTTGAAGTCCTTCCCCCTGCAGATCAGCAGGTTCATAGACCTCCAGCTCCAGTCAGTCCAGAATCAGCTCACAACAGCAGAGTGGGCTTGACGACTGAGGGTGAGTTTACTGCCATAAACCCAGACATTACACACACTGCTGACAGTGCTTGACATTTCATGTCAAATACAATTATTAATCTTATAACAGATGACATTCTGAGTCGGTATGAAATCGGCAGAAAGCTTGGTGAGGGAGGATTTGGCTCCGTCTATGAAGGGAAACGCTTGGAGGATGGCCTTGAGGTATCGTCATTTTCTTACAATATGTAACTGCAATGTTTTGTCTTAATTAGTGCATTTAGTGCACTCGTCATGTTGTAAATGTAACCAGGGGTTCAATTGGGATTTGTTATGTGGATCTATAAATTCAATTATAATAATGTGATTATCTATATGTTATCAAATTAAATCATTTACAAAAAAAAATACAACTGCATTAAATAATATTATGAGAATATTTTAAATATTTTTGAATATACAAACAAGAAATGATGGTGGAAATGATACTTTTCAAAGAAATTAAAACGCCAGTAGGTGCCAGTAGTGAGAGTTTAATGAGTGAGTCATTGAGTCGTTCATTCGTTCAAACGGCAAATTCATCAGGGCCCGTATTTACGAAACATCTTAAGGCTAAAAGTAGTTAATAACTCGCCGATTTAGGAGAAAATCTTAAAAATAATGGGCGTGTCAGTCCTAAATTTAGGACTCCTACATTTTTGCTCTAAGAGTATTTCACAAAGCGTTTTAGCACAAAAACTAGCTCCTAAATCTGTGAAACGTTAGGAGTAGTGAAGAGGACTCCTAAGTCACTAAGACCAAGCCACAAACTATCCTAAAATGGCTGTTTGCCGGCAATCTGCCTCGAAACGTAAACATTTTAGAAACATGTGACGATAATGACCTTTTTAAAAGGTATCGCCTTTGGTTTTGGAGGTTACCTCAACTCCAAATTTAACTTTGATTATATCTTTGTTTTCATTAACCAGTTGGGCAAGAAGTAACAGCTGTTCTTGCATCCAGTTTTTTTTTTTTTTGATTGATTTGTTTTTATGTTTGCATGTCTTACTATCAGTCATGATTATTCTACTCAATTAAAAGGCTGTTTATATGCATATCCACTAATTGTTTACGAAAAGCATACATGTAAGAGACTGACAATTAACTGAACATATACTTGTTTAATTAGAGACATTTAGCCTGCATTTTAAAATCTTTATTTGAATGTGGCAATTATTATCATTTTTATTTTTAAACCTTTATTTGAATATGGCAACATAATATTGCGCTCTACAATATTTATATATAAATCTCTGACAGAGACTATCAGCCAATCACTGTGTGCATAGTTAGTAAGCATGCTGACATCATCCATAGCAACGAGGTCAACCCCGCCCTTATTCTTAGCTTAAAAGGGTCATAGGATGCCCATTTTCCACAAGTTGATATGATTCTTTAGGGTCTTAATGAAAAGT